GCAGGCGTACTACCTGCACGCCGGTCTCAACTTCGGCCTCGACACCGGGAAATGGTCTGCTGAAACTTGTTGGCACCGACACTTATTCACCTGTGTGTGCGCGCGATCGACGCCTCGGCCGTGCGTCATACGCGGGACGCGTGCGGAAAGAAATCTTCGTTAGTGCTCCGGGGTGAAAGTATAAGAACAAATCGTGGTATCCCAGACCGAGGAATAAAGCGACTGGTGAGAGCGGCGAGGGTGAGTAGCGAGTTAGATATTATCGACGTAATACAAAACCAATAATCAGCCGAGCGGCGAACATTCAGAGAGGCGAGAGGTAGCTTGCTCGTCGGCTTCGGGCAGATAGAAAAGAATAAAAAGGCTGGAACGAGGGAGGGAGGAGAGACGAAGAGAAAGAGGAAGGAAGAACAGAGAGAGAGAGAGAGAGAGGATAGGAGAAAGACAGAGAGCGCGAGAGAGGAAGAAAAAGAGAACGCGACTGTACAAGTGTCGATATCCATCGCGGGATATAACATCTCGAACAACGGGGATGAAATCCATTTCCGAGATTGGTGACTATCGATTGAAGCGTTTCGGGGCCGCCCTCGACGCGGCCGCATTTTACTCACTAATTTTGCGATAATTAGCTGAAATGCTCGTTAATATCGGGGCTACGCCGGCTGCGGTTTTCGGTTCGAGCGTTAACAAGCTTCCTCTTCCTGCACCATCCGTTCTCTCCTCTCTTACCGCCGCCGCCACCGCGTCTGCCCATTACCACTCTTCTACGCCCGCAGACATCCACTTCCGTCGCCGACGACGACGACGTCGCCTTTCGCGTTCCGTGTCGCTCTAACAGTTACGTCTTTCAGACTAATTTGCGTTATCTCGTGAGTAGCTCTTCCGCCTCTGGAAAATCTCTTTTCTGAATCGTATCTTTTCTTACCTTTCTTTCAATAAATCATGACTCATTGTGTTCTGAAATATTGAGCTACTCGAATCAACGCGGTTTAACTCCTTGATTGACAAGCTGAATCATAAAGGGCTTAAGCTGGCAAAAAATGGATTCTTAAAAGTTAAGCAATGTCATTAAAATTTTGCGTCTAGGAGTTTTTGAGGTCACTGTTTGCGAATATGAAGTGCAGATTTTTCAAATTCAAAATGGTGGGCCCAATATGACGAAAATCGTAATTACGACTAAAATCCTAATTTTATTTCATCAAAATAAAACTGGACATCCGTAAATTCCTTGTATTCCCTTCTAATATATTATTGAGTTGTTAGTTGCGAATTAACAATCAAAACTGCTAATTTAAAAATGGCGGATCCAATATTGTGCCCATAAACGTTATTTTTTTAATTATGATGAAACTGCCACATTACACTCGCCCCTTTTAAATTTTGAATTTCGAAGTCCAGCATTGAACAGGGCGACCCCGAAAACCTTTGCATACCTAGTTTTAGAAATGGTGAACTGCCAGAAATCAATATCAAAACGCATTTTCGCCAATCAAGGAGTTGGTTTCATTTAATTGAAGTCCACGTACATTTCCAATTTTCTTAATTTGTTTCTTTTTTTTTTAATTTGAACGAGCGGACGTGGGAGTGAGCGAGAGCGGCGATCAATTTTAGCATCTCCGCGGCACGTGTGCTCGTCTAACTTATTTCCTCTCATTTGGTTCCCCCCGAGCACTATTTATCCGGCGAATAATCCTCGATAAGGATAAAAGATCCGGCGGCGAGAGCCCGTAGTAAACCGAACTTCCCCTTTTTTGCTCACGGGTGTGCGTTGGATCCCGCGTTATGAATGTGCTCGCGCGCACGAGCGTATTAGAACGAGCGGAGTATAGCTGGCGGATTAAACTCGCGGGCGATAGGTTGTTTTATGGGCACACACGCGAGCCGGTTTCCACCATAAGTGTATTCATATCGAGCGCGAGGACTCGAACATTCTGCTCGCGTTCGTTCATTACTTCCCCTCTCTCTCTCTCTCTCTCTCTGTCTCTCGTCCCCGATTGCACGAGACTACTTCTCCCACCGTCGCCCCCGTGGCGGCGCAGCTTTTCAATTAAGTCAAGCGTGAGGCCGCCATTGTACTAAAGCCGCGTGCCTGTTTCAATTAAACCTGTACGCTCATGTATCGCGCTAATAGCCCGGCGATAGTATTTTCGGTTTTCCGTCCGGCATGTCAAGCCGATTTTTATTTATATCCGCTTTTTCACCGGTCGACAAACCAACCGACTGGTCTATCTCTCGTCTCATTTGCAGGGCTTTCCGTCCCTTTTTGATCGCACCACGCGTGTTTTCATGCGTTCCTCCTTCTCACCCCTCTTACCCGGCAAACTCCGCACGCTTGTATTTGATATTCCGCGAAAATACAGATTTTTTTTTAATACTATAAAGGAAATGTACTTCATTAGTCTCATCGGCGGTCGTAATTTTTCCGCACGCTGCGCCGGCGAGAGACCGCGGCGCGATTTATTTCACGCGCCTTCAACAATAATAATAAAAAGGAAACATTATTGCGTGTATTTATCGCGAGTTTAAGATTGGGGATTATTCAGGATTAAACGTTAACAAGATGGGTGGAAAGGTACCGGCCCGATTACCATGCTTCCGAATAACGGAGAGGATGGCCGGGAGGATCAGCTGGGATTATTGTCGGGTAATTGAAAAGGATAGAGATGCCTCCCTCGTGTGTTTCACAATTGGGGCACGAGGTATGAAAAGTGTCTTTGTCCATTAACCCGCCACAATATGGCGGGGGNAGGACGGAGCAGCTCTCCCGTAAATACGGATAACGTCCCGACGAAATCAGGGCATCTTCTCCCTTTAATTCCCTCGAGTTTCGATTCTTCTTCAGTATTTAAAGCATTACTTGAGGGTGGTAATGTCACTTTTATCAGACAAGAGAGAAAGAGAGAGAGAGAGAGAGAGAGAGAGATTATATTGCGCGATAAAATGATCATTATTCACGTAGCACTAATTATTCTGTGAGTACGCGAAAAGTTTCACCAGTGAAATAATGTAGGAAATTTTCCGGGAGAGTAATCCGCATACCGACGCGGTCACAGAGCGCAATCGAATCTCAATAAACTTTTATTGTACGTTGCAGCAACGGTATATATCTTTTCCACATCGACTCGCATTTGCACTCTTGTGTGTAGGCCGTGATAAAGAGAGGGAAAGAGACAGGGAGAAAGAAAGAAAGACAAGAGATCGATAGAGGGACGCGATTTTTACCCGTCGTGAATCGGACGCTGTCGCGGCGATTAAAGTCGTTAGTTTAAATAAGAAAACAGAATCGTGTAGAACGGACGAAAGATGAATCGCTATCAACGAGGTCTGAAAGACAAACACCGTGCCTGAGTCACTCGCCCGGGGACAAAGCGTTTAAACGAGAATTCAATTTTCCGAGAGCTCTCGACGCGACTCGAGCACAGGGCGACCGAGACTTATCGGTTGACTAAGTCGATGATTAGTACTTTCCGCAACAATAGCTCTTTGCCGAACCGTTGAGAATTACGTTCGCCCCTCGCCCGAGTAATTACGCGAGGAGCAATGAGCGAGAGCGATTTTACCGTTCTCGCTCGTTCCCGCGGCGACGCACACACACGCCCGTTTATCGTGGAATAATAAACGAAATCTGCCACGCGCGATCTCGCCGTCGGGGATGACGAAGCACGCGTTCCGATCTTGTCGGCGTTGCACATTCCGAATCGCGCGTCTCGCTGACTTCGATCGATAATTATTAAACGCTCCGCGCCGCGCAATTGAGTGCGTTTAATCATGCGAGCGTCTTCATTGTACGGCGCTACGTAAACGCTATACTCGACACGAGGAGGGTTATTACATTCCGCTCGCGGAGAGGGTGAGACGTTTACCCCCCCCGGTTTGCAATTGCCGTGACATGCAATGGCCAGCGGGCTCGTCAAACGCGCACTCTGAGATACGGCGTTGATATTTCGCGATATTAAAACAGCCTTGACAGTTTGACATATTTAGCGCCTCTCGCGTTAACGAACCCCGCCCTGCCGGAAATATGTAATTGTAATTGTCGTGTGACCGTAATTACGGCTAACGCTTCATCGACGCGTGATGTAACCTTAATTTGCGAAATTAACCGGAAACTCCGGCACGGAATCGAACACCGCTGAATTTGTAACAAACGAGTCTTTAACGATGCAATTGCGTGTTATGACAATTATAAGTTGGCGTGTAATTAAAGTTTGTTACCGGCCGTCCTGAATATGAAATTCGACCGAAACACACCACATACGCTGTGTGGACTGTAATGTATTTTAATATTAACGGATTCGAAATAATTCCTCATTAATTGGCGATTATTCTCTCTGGTTCTTCGTGCAACTTACCGATTTCGCTTCTAGTACGCGCGAGTACGACGCGTAGTTTTGTTCATCGACGCCCATGTTTTGTCTCTGCTTGAGACATTTTGTTCAAACGGTGAGCTTCGCGACTTGACAAATAGGAGGAAAGCTCGGAGTTTTCCTTTCAATCATCAGTCTACAGCCGGCTTTTACTTGTAGGCGCTCGCCGGAATTTCCCGATAAATTACACGAAACTTTCCGAAGCGTTTTAAGTTGGATTACTTTGTTTGAACGCCGGATTGATTGAACGATTGCCGTTCTTTCAACACGCTATCTATATATTCGAATTACTCCGTTGCTGTCTTTGCCTGTGTACATTAATTATTTTTAAACAATGGAGGGGGAAAAAAAGCTATGCCAACGAAAAGCACGTATTTCCCAAACGATCGATCCTATAGTTAATATTCTTATCAATTGAGATATTTTCACTCACTTGTCTTCGTTAACGCAGCCTCACGATAAATTCTCCTTCCGTACTTCCTGCTGTTATCTTCAGCGATCGATTTTCATTGACCTTTGCAAAATTGTATGATTAATATAATTCTAAAAAGGAAAATTTTGGTGATAATTTTTCGCAAAAGACCCGAGGAATTAAGTATTACGTGTAATAATAATGACTCGTATCCACTTTTATTACGTACGTTTCCAAGACATATTTATATGTAATATTCCGTTTGCTATTCGCATGAACAGATCGTAAGTATTAAAAGTACTAACACTACAGGTTCTTATGTATCTATGTGCGACATTTGATATTAGGCTATACATCTTAATTTAATGTACATACATTCTAATTCAATACATATAAAGCCAACGAAGTTGCTGAAAATAATTCTTCAAAGTACACACACGTACGTGGAATGTTGAAAAAAGATCGGGGTGATGTTTTCATGAATCCACGGACGATGTCGGCGAGTGCGCTACATCTCTTTCAAGTTTGACCTTAGTCTTTTTTTCAACATTCTATACTTATCGGCACGTCGATATAGAAATACACTTACGGCTATTAAAGTTGAATTATAATAATAATTACGCGTATATTTAACTCTCTTTGTGTGTGCACATGATTAGCTGCTAACTTGAATAATAATTCGTCTGACAGGTTTTTAATAAAATGTTATTCCCTTTACAAGTTGTAAAGAGTTTTAATCTGAGATTTTATTAATTTATTGTAAAGTTTTGACGAAATCGGTGTATTCAAAAATTTACTTTAGAAATTCACTTAGTCTCCTGTTGTTCGCAACAACGTTTCCTTAAGATATTTATTAATTAGAATAAATATTGAGCTGTGAGTATTCGAGTATTTTTTAATATGACAAATTTTTTTTGAGAAACGCTACACCGATTCAAATCTGCATGCTTCGTGATTTCGTTGAGGCATTATTTTTATACGAATGTCGGTAAAAATAATAATAACCATTCGCAATCTTCGTCCATTGAGATATTATATTGTATAGATGCACTATTATTACTATAAGCTCGAGTTATCTTATCCTTTAGACCGTTACTTCGATTTTTAATTGAAAGATGAAGATTTCGATTGTGATGTAATCATAATGTAACGACTCTTTTCGTAAGGGACAAAATAACTTGAGTTTACGACAGTTTTTAACGCGCGATAGGTACAAGCATTGAAATATACAACCGGTTTTGGCAGTTTAGGAATTTTGCTGATAATAAAATTCCATTTTCTTAATCTCCGACGATCCGAATGAGGGATGCCGGCTGATTTGCGGACGTAATTTCGATCGTGACATTTCTGGGATTTTCGCTCACGCACGTTCTTCGACGAATTATTGCAAATCATTCTCGTTCGAAACGCTTAAATTTTACAGATCAGACGATGCTTCTCGTTTTATTCTCGTGTAATGTTTACAACGATTCTAGATTGAGTTTATTATTGCCAGTGTTGGTAATACCCAGAGGAGAACGTGAAACTACGTGCAACTTTTATTTACAGAACTCGATGTCCCATTTACATTAAACTACTTGTTAGAAACTTGTCACAAACTTATAAGAAGCAAATAATACCTGATTCTCACGATGAAGACTTGTCTACCCCGAGACGAGATCTCAGCGCTGAATTTGTCTATGATACGTTTTGAGAATGTAATATACTTCGGAGCGTGATGGTCTCCGAGGATGTTCCAAATTCCGCAGAAATTAAAGAGTTGTCCGTATAACGATGTATGCATTATTATTTTGCGACAAATTATCATATTATTCTCATCATATGTTCATGAAAATTAGTTTCTTAAACGATATTATCTTTCTAGCGAGATATTTGGGAAAGACACTTTAAAACACATCCACAAGTAATAAATATCGCATAAAATACTTAATAATAATATAATTTTTCATTAGAAAGTAAATAAACTTCGCACCTCGAGAGGTTAATTAATTAATTTATTTACTGAAGACACTTTGATGTGAACTAGGACGACGAGTCTCCGCGGAAAAACTTCTGTTTCAAAGAGAGTTTATGATGACCAACGACACAAGACTGCCAACTTGGTCCCCGAAGTTGGCGAACAAATTCATCCTCGTCGAGAGACGACCAAATCTCATTCCACGGATATTATTCACTCGTTACGAGTTCAAGCGGAGTTTCTATCAAGTAGTGTCACTTGGATAAGACATTTCTTTAAACGAAAGTTACATGGTTACGTGAAACTTCGCGGTCCTCCTTGGATTTCACCACCCGGGGGATACGGACTCGCGGAAAACTGTCTGCAGTTGAATTTCTCGCTTTAAGTTTATTCGCAAATAGATTTTTCTTTGATCCCGCGCGGTACCTGTCATATCTTCTTTCGTGACGTTTGGATTTCATCGCCAGGCTCAAACAGCTTTACGCAGAAAAAAAGAAAGAGAAATAGACAATGAGAAAGAGAGAGAGAGAGAGAGTGAGAGAAGGGGGGGGGGAGGGGGAATAGTAAAATAGGTCGAATCGAGGACAATATTTTTCGATACTTAAGTGCAATTTTGCAATTTGCAGGGACGTTTCGAACGATCGAAAACAAATTTGAGGCGTTTGAGTGTTTCCGCTAATACCTTCAGCTTCGCGACAATAACGGTTTACGTTAGTCACGTGACGTGGCGGATGAGATACAGGAAGCAGCGTCTTACGTCCGGGACAAACATGAGAACTGCGAAGGCCAACAGATCGTTACTCGACGATGCTGCCTTGGAATTTCGCCGATCACCTCCGTGCATGGCCGCTGGTTTTTCTTCCTCTGTGAAAATAGGCAAAATTCTCCGATAAGTTCGAACGAGAGTGGAAAGCAATTCTTGAGCGTCCCGTGAATTTTCTCCCGCGATATTGCAAGGCTTTGCATGCGAGATATCGACTTGCCGGAATTTCGCGTGATTATTACACCGGCAACGTGTCCATGACGTCGTGTGTATTGGATTTTCACGTGAAAAATGTGTGCATACATTTATCTTCCGATATTATGAAGGAGTGCAAGTAGCCACCCGTCGATTCCGAGCGGGGATTTGAATATTTCAAATCCTGAGTAGGCTGGTTTACCCTCTTTGCTGACTAAAAAAATGAAAAGATGGGCGATCTGCCTTATGTACAGTCATCCTCCGAGATTGAGGACGGTTCACGGATTTTACGGCCCATAAAGCTCGCCCTACACTCTGACATAACGTCTGTTCTTGCCTGAATCTAGATTTCACGCATATATGCGAGGCATAAATAAACGTCTCCTTAATGGTTCGTGGAAGATGGGAGTTAGTGCTCGGTACTGTCGATGATCGACGAGGGAGATTTTTTTCAGAGTTCGGATCGATGGGTCGGCGGTGGTGTGAGATCGGTGGTCCGTAAAGACGATGGAAAGTTCTCTACGTGATGACGCAACGGGGCATACACGTGCACAACAAGCTTATATATTTTTACTTATATGTGAGAATATGAGTCTCAAATTGACACTAACTTTTTGTCATATAAATAATAGTAAATAATAAATATCAATAACGAAAGCTTCGAGTAATATTCGAGGAGTTACACGGTTACGTTACTATTATTCGCACTGAGCCGTCCGATAAGCGGGACGAGCACGGAATGAAGTTGTTCGAGGACCCGAAATCAGAGGGGAGTTAATGAACAAGCTGTACCGTAAATGAGCGGCTGGCTAATCGCTCACCTTCGATGACGTGTATCATGATGTATGCCTGCCTGGCGTTGCTCGGCGAGCAAGTGTAGTTTGCGCCGTGCGAGAGCTTCACCTTCTCAACGACGAGTACCGAGCCGTTCCTCGTCGGCTCGACCCTAACGCCGGGCTCGTTGTCGTAGTTTATCATACGGCCTTCGCGATACCAGAATATGTAGCTGGGCGATTCCGCGGCTGCCATCAGCTGACACTCCAGGCGCAAGCTGGAGCCCTGTTTCACATGAAGGTCCGGTCCGCCCGGTATCATCGAGTACGCTTCGGTGGTGTTCAGCCACACGAATCGTTGCTGCACTGGTTCCGTTTGTATCTGTTTTATCAACATCAACATCGCGAGATATGCATAAACGGTAACGTATGTTACGGAGAAAAACAGCCCGGTTGAATTTATCTGAAATAAACGGGCAAAGCAAATGCATTTTGGTCGAAGGAAACAGAATTTTCAGGTTGTAGAAACCGAATTTGACCCAAAACAACCAGACATTTTATTTCCATCGATCAAAACGCTTTTGGTTTGTCTGTTACAGATTAGATTCGTCAAACTTTATCCATATGGAATATATCTTTTTAATATATTGATGTATGTATCGTCGAGTACTCAATAAATAATTGTCTTTTGCGTTAATATCGGCTGATCATAACGAATACATTACTACTCGCCTGACCATGTTCGGTCGTTACTACTCTCTGTTTGGCGCGCGCAATGTAAGAGAAAAAGGTTTCTTTGGGTTTAATATACGTGTTTGTTTGACTTGGGTTTGTTGAATATATAAACAACATAATTTATTGTCAAATATCATTTTGTTTGAATGAAAATGTTTTTGTTTCACTAGAGTAAACCATGTTGTTTGGTAAAAAAAAACAGTATTATTTGGAGGAAATAATATTTCGTCTAAGAACAGAAGAGAACAGGAGAGAGAAGAAAAATTGTGTTAAATACGAAAAATAAATTATATTTATCGGTCATCGGCAGAGTGATAATTGTCGGTTGAGAAAATTAACATTGACCACGAAAACAAGATATTTTAGAAACAGAATTAATTAAATTTACCACTTTTTCCGCTACTTCGGAGTATAGGGATCTAAACATTGGTATAAAAAAATCATTTTCTTTCGGGATAAATACGATTGTGCCACGCTCGAGAAATACCAAAGAGGCTTGAAACTTTTGTAGATTCCAAGAATTTCGAAATAGAAGATACGATCGTGAAGTTTAAAATGATAATTAAACTCCAGCGTGTCGCGAGAGTTTCGGATAAATTAAGGGATAATTTTGTATGAAGAAGATTGAACGCTAAGTGGAATTTGCGTTGCATAATTCTAAACGTGAAGTGAGCGATTATTCTCTGCATTGCTCTGATAAAATCGTCAAGTTTTTACTGCACGTTACTCGGGACATTAAATTCATTAACTGATTATATTCATCTCGGGAGAGACGTAGTCGTGCGTACATGTCCAATGTCTTCCGCGAGTGATGTTACGCTTATCGTCGCAACGCAGAAACATACAGCGCGAGCCTCTGCAATCTCCTTTTTACCGCCGTGATATTGATTGCGACGGTGGCGTGCCTTCGTGTATCGACATTACATATAGGCGTTACCTGACACTCATAAAGGCCCGCATCTTCATGCTTGACACTTTTGATTAAGAGACTCCAGTCAGGCATGACGACGAAACGCGTATCTAAAGCGTGAGTACCTCGGCCTACTGTGAGTAGTAGTCTGTCTTTTCGTCTGATCCAAGTTACCTGAAACGCGAATTTTATTTCACACTTTTATTATTGCCAGTATACATAATAATTAAATAGATGAATCTATTCTATATATATATATATTTCGTTTATTGAGCTTTTTTTGAGTGTGAGGATCTTGTCAAGCGCGTGAAAAATATTACGATAAATGGTGAGGAAAATTAATTAAAGATATAGGCAAATGCATAGACAGTGTTCACGCATGCGCGAAAGAGAAAATGAAAATTACAGTAATTACTGTCTATTCTGTTCGCACGTTATGTGCATTTTTTAGTAACGCTCATCTCCGCGTTTGCATATACGTGTACGCGTTTCTGTGCGCATCCCGCGTGACTTATTCTGATATATTAGATTACGTACAATTGCAACGCAAGACATCGCAGATTTTACTAAGTGAGTCAATTATCATGTTTATGAAACAGACAGTATTTTGCATTCTCGGGGAACGTCGAATGCATAATTCCGCCTTCTTCGGTGTTTTTTTACTTAAAGAGAAACAAATAAGCACAGGGCGTAAATTGTTTTTAAACTGGAGTCCTACAAAAAATACTACGAATCTTCGAGCATTATTTATTAGCCGGCCGGCGAAGCAACCACCTTTGACGAAAAGACCCAGATCTGTATGTATTACTTCGCTGGCACTCGATTAAATTTTCAACTTCGCGACGCGCTTTCGAGCAATGGGAACAGAAGTATCTGCTTGACAGATCTTCTGAAATATCCGGCGGTGCTTCGCTAGAAATATATTGCGTGAGTCGCGCTCGGCTGACTTCTAAGATAGACATCGGCGGTTATTTATGGAGAAATGTCACCAAGATAGAAATAGATCTTCCGCTGAACCTTAAGAAATTCTTACGCGTCAGTGAAAAGTCATTTCTTCGCGCGGACGAATGTTTATCCTAAGTATTTCACCCGCTGTTTGTTAAATGCTTTTCGTACACAGAGAAGAAAGATTAGTCGAATCAAGAGGGTTTCTCCATTTAAAGACTTCAAAATTTTCGATCTCTTTTTTTTCCCACTTATTCCAAATTTCAAGTCTCGAAAATATGTTCTTAAAATGATTTAGCGATATTTATGAAAATATGTTCTTCGGATCAGAAATTGTTTCTCTTTCAAGCAGAACGCATTCAGTTTGTTCATTGTCACGTTAATCTTTCTCGCTGTGTACATATATAAATATCAGATACTTTATTATGTACGACGGGACTAGAGCGCTTCAGTTTAGGCGGATGTAAATGCACCTGGATAACCAGGTCGCACTTTCATGACGCAATTTCTTTGTCAATTTGTTTCGCGTTTTGCATTTTATATCCACGCGTCTGCACGTCCACTTCTACTTTCGCTGCATAAACCTCAATGCGAAGTGCCCACGTTTGTAGTATTCATTGTCAGACGGGTGACGTAGCGCGCAGAGCGACGAGCGACTTCACGTTTAATGTTTGTATTTCATGACGCAGATCCGGGAAGTAATGGCCGAAGTTTCGGCTGATATTGAGGGACGGGGAATTGGCGAGCGAGCAACTTCGGAGTTATTCGGCCAACGTTGGACATTAGATTATCGTGAATGTCGCGTGGTTTATTAGACACCGGCGTCAGCGTTCAAGACACGTTACTAACGCTAATCGACGGCAGGATTGCCAAATATTACCGCTAAACACCGCAGCGGACAGAACTTTCTCTTTCTTCTTTAAACCGAACCTTTGAAAGTTTCGCTTGATTTCGCCCAGCTATCGATCGCTCCCGAGTAAATTATCGGACACCCTGTGTAGTCGCGGAAATAATATCGCAATTGCGAGCGATTACCGGCGAGTTTCTAGCGTGCGCAAATCGCGGGGGATTAACGATGCTTTTAGGAGATGCGCGGTTTCCGGTCGGTTCGATCCAGCGATTCTGATGAAATTAAGCGGATTCGGCGATTACGGGCGGTGTGCGCGCGCGCGCGTTGAAGCGAATTACCAGCGGGATGTTTCAATAATAGCGGCAAATTCAATATTGACGAGCGTAGAATAAATAATTCGGCGAGTAACGAGTGACGGTTGCGACGCGACGCCTCATTGCGCCGTGCCCGCATTGCCCGGCGCATAAAAAGCCGCGTGCAGATGCGAAATTGCCAAGTTTCGAGGGAGCCCGTCGCGACCCTCTCATTATTCGATTCGCCGGTCGTAAACTTTCCCGACGTCCCGGAAGTCATCGCAATTTCCCGATGCGTCCGATCTACCGTGTCTTTTGGTTTTGTCTTATCTAAAGCGTTGTAAATTATATCAGAAAGTAAATGCAGGTGTTGCTGTGCCAAAAAGTTCGAGCGCTCAAAGAGCCCCTCCCGCGTGTTGCTTATGCATAGTTTGATTAAAAACTCTTGTAACGCAAATCAGCGATGCGATGGAAGCATTTTGTGCATAGATATGCGCCACACGCGCCGACGGGGAAAAGAAAACAAGGAATACGCCAGCCCAGACACAAACGAAAACGAACGGGCTGTAAAATTAATTCTCGATATATCTCGAGTCCGAATGCGAGCGCGATGGCCGACGAATAGCTCGTTATCTTCCCTTCTCCCGTCCATATTTTTCGTCGGCTCGCACGTGCTCGTTCGCAATATGCGTATATTTTCTGGAGAAAGTGCAAGGAGGTTGCATAACTCCGCGCCTTGCGGCATTCGGAGGCAATTTTCTTTGACAAAAAACGAACTGCATAAGCGTCAATAACATAGAAGCGATCCTCACAATGTTATGTCATTTAAACACTGACACGATAATCTTTTTGTATTTCTCGTACATATAGATCTAATATAAATATAAGTGCGATATAAATGAAAGCGACGAGTGCCCGGTACATCCGTTTCATCTAACGGAAAATCTAAGTAAGATGTGTAAATGTTTTTCCGCAAACTTTTCGTATCTTTTTAGGCCTCTAAATTCTATTAAAAAGGCACAAAAATGTTCTTCGGAATTTTCCTAATTTTTTCTCAGTGCGGTACAACTAATTGATAATTACTATGGGGACAGCGAAAGGATTTGTTACATGGGAAAATAATTTTGCTGTTGTAGCAAAACGTCGTTGTGACAACGATAAAACTTAATTGGCATAGCCGATTATTTTACTGTCCATATATCAAGTATACAAAATAGCAATTAATACTCTTAACAAATCATTTTGCTGTACACAATTTTTCTGTCTCTATAATAACTAACGATTTGCTGTGACGGCAAAATATTTTTCTCCGCGTTACCGCTATAAATGTCACGTGGAAATTTTCAATCATTTTCGCCACATACTGAGCAATACTCCAATTATCGCGCGTACTTTCGCTGTGTAAAAACATTAACAATTCTATCCGACCAATAAAGCGTAAACTGTGTAGAGAAAAAAATCAGTATTCTGTCGGTAAAGTTTTCAAGTATATATATGTGTGTGTGTGTGTGTGTGTGGAATCCCCTTGATTCTTTTTAGACCGGCGGAAATCAATGTGACAGTGAACGTGTCACGAACGACTGACGCTGCGGAGAGTCATCATCCGCGTCATTTCTCACTCATGAAACCCTCGATCCCCGATTTATTCCCTCATTCAACGTGCGGCGAACGAAGATTTACCGGCGTAACTGCCGTATTTATAAGGGAGGTGTGTGCATTTGCGCGGAGTGCATCCGCGTCTCGCGTACGTGACGGAGCGTCGAGGTCGCATCACCGCCGCCGGCGGTCCACGTGTCACGCGTGTCGTAACAAGCCCGTGTTATCGCTCGAAATGACACGTCGTGGACGCGTCGCGTCCGAATGCAGTTTGGACACGCGGAAAGACAGGAAGAACGGAGGCGAGGTTCCGGCCGACGTGACATGAATAAAAGATCGAGCATGTGCTCCTCCGCGGCCGCCTCCTCGGCGCGCCGATATTGACCGTCTCTTTCTTGATACTCGCTTTTCGATATCGTCCGTCGAACCGCCCGACGAAAGCTGTAATTAACCCTTTGAGAGCGTCCCCTCTCCCGATTGTTTTTAGATCTTTGCCCCCAGAGCTTCGAACTCGATGAATATACAGATTGTGGGGAAATATTTCTTTCTTCGCGTCTCTCTCTCTCTCCTTTCGATCGACCGAACTGCGACCGAGCTTTCTCATTTTCGCGGGGGGGAGCGGCACAAAGGCTCGTTCTTTTCCGTGCCGTTATAATATGCGTTCCGCGCCTGCGATCCCATTAGATTTTGATTTGCGAGCGGAGGGAGGGGGATCGATTCGCGGAGCACGTGAGCGAGATAATACGAGGGGTCACGCGCGGTTGCAGCACACAGTCGCCGATCAAGTTACGCATTCTCTCGTTTAACGTTTAACGACACTTACCGCGGCCGGCACCGAGTCTGTTTGTCAGGCACGCAGGGCTCGGGTATAAGTTACCTCGTCGCATAACATTAAGCGCCAAGGGTTAATGATGCCGGTAATAAACAATAGCGTTCCGTAACACTACGCTCATGCGAGAAGGGTCGCATCGCGATGCCAGCGTAATTAACCCTCCCTCGTATTCGCAGGCGACACGAGCGAAACTGTCCGAAACTTGCGCGAGTAAAAAGAAACGGCTGAGCTACGAACGGTCGTGGGAAGAAACGTTTCTGCGAATCAAGGGGATGCGGATCATTTCAATATGCAGTCTGCGTCGCTGAGGGCACAATATTCCAAATGTCCTTGTTAGAAAACGGACAGATGGATACTAGTCCTTACGCGCCCAATGTTTATCTTCGTGAATTCTCTTCCCCGAAGTTCCAGCGCGATGACCTTCGTCGCACCAAGTCAATAATTCTCCACGGTCCCTCAAGGAGCGAGTTAAGCTGCCTCGGGGGAGTGGATATTGGTCTGTCGCAGAATGCATCCCGTGACCGTAAAGCTGTAATTGTGCCGACATCAGCGATTGTGTCAGTGATGAGTTCATGATGATTCTGCGGATGAACGAGAGGAGAGCCGCCGGTTGCACGTGTAGTTGCATAAAATGCACGACGAAGGGCCGCGGACGCCG